ACATATATCTACTATTATGGGAATATTACCTGGACACGGCTTGCTGAAACACCTTTATGTGATGGAAGTACACAATGATCCCACCACGTGTAGCATGGAGGAGGAAGAAACCTCATACCATGTTATCTTTGAATGCGAAATTATTGCTAGGTGGCGACTCACCCTCTTACGTCTAGAACCGAAAAGAATGCCTCAGGAATACTTGGCAGGGAACTTAGTAAAACCAAACAAAGGCACAGAACTATTTAGATATAGTACCTGAATACGAAAAGTAGGGAAATATAATTAAACCAAATAGGCCACAGTATTCTAGGCTAAATCTAACCCTACCTGCCTATAACAGACAAAGATAAAGAAGTCGTCATTATACAATATCGGCCATCGAACGGTTTCCAATAAGTATATAGTAATTACAGAGAGTTAGCATTAGCGCGAGCAGAAAACAGAAAAGAGCATTGCCTGGCAACGCTGTAATTCGTTTCCTGTTCGCTCTAATGCTAACTCTGTAGTTTTCACATAGAATTGTGCAAAGCATATTTGAAAATAATCAGTAACCGACGCTGTATATGAATGGCATTTAACAGTGACGTGTATCTGATAGGAAGCTTTCAACCCATTTACAGAGATTTTGTGCCAGGTAGTCTGTATGAAGAAATCTTGTTTAGCTGACCGGCATGCCAAATCTTGTCGAAAGTTTTGTTAATATTGAGGTGAAAAGAAAGAGTGTCAAAAGCTTGAATGTCATGTCTATATCATGAATTAATTTAAGAGACTATTTATGCTAGATATTGATTTATTTTTCCCTCTCTTTGATGGAATGGGTTCTGCTCCTTTCTGGTGCCGGTTTGATATAAGCAGTATTTCAGTTAATTTGAAATACAATTATATAATTAAAATACTAAAAAAATAACTAGTTAAAATAATATTAATTTTGTTATAGTATTGAAATTTGACAAAATATTCTTAAGCTTTTTCTGTCTAGCATTAAATAACGTTACTTTAGAGATACATTAGAAAATTTTATTTTATTTAATGCTACATCCTATTGTATATTTTTAATATAACATTTTTAAAAGAAAGCAATAATGATTTGCCATTAGTTAAAATTTTAAATTCTTTAGAAAATTACCTGAATCTGCACATTTAAAATTTCGTGAAATTAAAATGTGATCGATACCCATATTTTTCCATACTGTATTTGTTTATGTTATAATAATATACCTTAATTAATGAAAAATATTTCGCATTTAGATTAAAATAATGCCATGATGGCGATTAAAAAAATAAAACTCACAGGATTAATATTTCACGAATTCAAATTAGCTCAAAATTGATCTTTCATTCCGTTTGTGTTAGGTTAAATTGCAATTTTAAATTGCACTGTAAACTATAAAATAATAGGACCACCGAGCGTTTTAATTTTTATCATTTTAATACTCGTATCAAATTGCACAACCGTTTACAAACCGAAACTGCTCTGTGGACAATAGCCATTCTGGCCGATTTAACTCTGTATCGTTCATTTTATTGTATCTGTTATCCATTTATTATAAAATCTAATTAACGCTAAACGGAAACTACCAAAAAAAAATCTTTTAAAAACAAAACAATCGCAAATGCGATGCAACATTATTGTTCGTTAATAAACATAAAACAGAAGGTTTGTAATCCCTTTTGCATCCTCCATGATGCACAAAATCATGGATAATCTTAAAATAAGATTTTAGTAGAGCATTTTTTATAAAAATAATTATAATTGACTTTCTGACCAAGCCCATATAAAAATACGTACTAAGGTAAAAATTATCACTTTCAGTAAAAAATTATTTTGTTAAACTTTTCAAGCTACTGTACAAAGTGGACAGGGACTCATGTATGTTAATAAAGCGCGAAGAGAGAGAGTATCAAGAAATAGAGTACCTAAGCACACTCGCGTATCGGGGACAACACTAATCATTTGTAGTGCGCATGTCGTACAGGTTTGTACATCGGTCTCCTTTTGACAGAGTAGATGAGCTGTGTCCAGGCCGTTGGTGTTTATGCCGGTCGGCGTAGCCAGGTATGGATTGAAATTTTATGCCACCCTACGAGAAATCGTTACTTTATCTTCTTGTTGTCACGGCATTATTATTATTTGTTAATGTATGTGAAATTTGCTTCTAAGGTTTATAAAATACTACTGCTGGTCACGGCGTAAATGAAAAGAAACAAGACGTATTCACACAAACACCTCCCACCACAGCAATTACGCGAGTTCTGAGTACAGCTACTTTAGCAACAAACAAAATCTAAAATATTGTAATACGTTGGATTAGTGACGTAATTCGTATGCCAAACAAAAAAGAATCAATTTGTCATTCATTTTGACATACCCAGTAGGCATTACAAACAAAATGGTGGCCTGCGGGCTTAGTCACGGTCAATAATATATAATTATATAGATTGATTATATACAGGGTGACTGACAACGCTGGTGGGTATAGCGTTATCAATCGAATAGAACACCCTGCATAGGTTTTTTAAAATACCTAACATAAGCTCATGTCTTGAATTGAAATTGTAGGTATTTATTTTTTACTATATTCAAAGGCTAAAATTTGGTTTTAAAACACATTTTTGCTAAACCGATTCTGATTAATGAACCACAACCGTCTTTAATATTCCTAGCCATGAAGACAAAAAATGGCAACGTTGCGATGAGAGTTAGTATTTCTTTATTTGACACTAATATGACAGATGAAAATAGCTAACAGGTCATTTTAAAACGTTCACCCACGACACCCGAGTGCGAGTAAAATACTTGTATAGTAAATTAGTGTAATAATTACAGAATAAAACCGTGATAGTGTTGATGAAATATATGATAATAATTGTTTGATAGTACAATAACCAAAATTGCAGTAAACTGAAGAAAACTAATGGTTTTATCTCGAGTTTTATGCATTCATAATGGCTGAAAACTAAATAGTGTGTGTTTAAAATTGTGATCTTATAGTTATCAGTTATAGCTTTAAGATTTTCGTTTATAAGTAAATGGTATGTAAGTTTAAACGATAGGTATCTCCATCAATACTTTTGATAAAAAATACAAGTACACTTGAAATTAAGGTTTTTTGAATAAGGGACTGTTTTATTTTATTTTTAAAATGCCTTAAATGTGTTGTGTTCCTGGCTGCAAATCCAACTATAGAAGTACTTTACTTAAGACTGATAATAAAGGTGTATCAATTTTTAGGATTCCTAAAGATGAAAATTTAAAGAAGAGCAAGTATTTTTAAGATCCTTGTGTATTTCTTCTATATTTTTCTTACCTTAGTTATTTAGTATCTTCATTATATTCGTAGACGATTTGTGATTGGTTAAATGACACATTTCTACATGCCAAAAAAATAAATGACAACAATCTTACCTAACCTTCATTTTTATTTATTTTTTCACAAAATTGATTACTTAAGGATTATTTAACTAAAACGTTATCCACCTACCTTTGATTATATTTTGTGATTTAAAAATTACTAAAACCGTTTAAAAACTAGACATTTAGTATGTAGAAAACTTTGTTAGATACACAAATTGAGTCATCACGGTGTTGTGGAGCTACCGTACACAGGTGTCAGGAAGAGGAAGAAAGTATCGGTACGATAACGACGCAAGTGTTAAATGGTAAATGGTAGAATTGTTGTCTAGAAACAAGAAAATTTTAGGCCCAAAATCGTAACTGTTCGTCTAAGATGAATAGTTAATGAATGTTGGATTTTTCAATTTCATGTGCGGAAATTTTTTCTCTCTTGCTTTCTATTGCGAAAGAAAGGTCATATTTATTACATATACATGTTTTTTATTCATAATATATATGACCGGGTATATACATATGTATATACAATGTATAAACAGGAATCGTCGGGATAATTATAAAGAAAACATTTATTTTATGATTTTCTTTATTTTGGTAAAGTTTTTACAAAATATAAATCAGTTTCTAGACCACCATTATATGTGTTTAGAAGAAAAGTCAACGACAGCTCCCTTCAGTTTTATATGGTAGTTTGGATCTTGCATATTATTCAGTTTTGCTCGATTCCAAAACTTCCGAAATTCGTGATGAATTGATTTCCCAATTTGCTCGGACCACAAACCGAAACCTTCCTGCCTCTTCGCCTAGAAGTTCAAGTCATTTTTGGATATGTGTTAGTATAATATGAATTTTCAGTGTTTCTGTCACATTGATAGCAAGAAGAGCTTTCTTTAGATCCCTCATATGCCTATTTACATCAGAATGAATTCGCATTACTCCAAAACAAGAATGCAGGATTTGATCCATGACTTTAAATGCTGCCACAAATGGACGAACAGGGAATGGTCCCCCTACGTGCTGGCAGATTTCACGATCTAGTAATGTGTCTGATGATTTGAATAGTTTTCCACACGCATTTTCTTCAAACGCTTCCCCATGATAATTCTTCGAGACTAGCTTCAAAGTATGGAGTCATTTTAAAGCCGTTTCCCTACCAAGTAGCGGGACTAAACGACCTTTCCAAAATAAATGGTTAACGAATCCTTGCAATATATGGAGTTCTGGGATTACACATTTTTGTACCACTGTCACGTCGTCAGCATCGTAAAATAGCGGAGCGTGTATGGTACTCCGACTCTGTCCAGATATAAATTTTTTACCTCCAAGAGCAATATATTTTTTATAATCATGCCGCAGATCCCCATAAGTTTTATATTTGAAGGATTCATCACTCTTCTATGGGCCAACATGATCATTTGTTGGTGTTTAAACCTTCTAGATGCTTGCGATCTCGTAAAACGGGAATAGAGATGTAGCCCTTTGTTGCCCATTCACAAGAAGTAGCAACTTTAAGTCAGAAACAAATTTCATGGAAATTTCGTTGATCTTTACAAGATCGAATAATATTTTCAAGTTTTCGTACGACAATGCCAGGGATGATATCCAACATTGTGATCCATAGCTTAAATAGTCAGAAACATAACTTTTAGGAATCACTGACATGCATATTTTGAAAAACCCTTGTCCGCCGTCCGCCATCAGCCATGACATTCTTTAAAATTTTCTCAGCGTTGCCCCAAACTACAGGTCTCCGCTGCTTCACAAGACTTATTTTAACATCAAATTCCAAAATATCGTGATTGTATAAATCTTCTAATAACTTGGCCTGTTTTGAAACTTCAATAGAATAGTAAACTCGAACTCCTTTCCTTCCAATATGGGGTCTAATAAAATGGCTTTAATTTTTAATTTGCTTCCCCGAAGCACCAGATTCTACTTGATAAGTATTCAAGCTTTCAGATTAGAAAATTTTAGGTTTGTCTGACGCCTTCAGAAAAATAGTTTTCTTGTGGCCCTGTGTACTCAAGCTTACAGTTTTCGTGGAATCGGCTAGCATACATTTCATGTTGTCAATTTTTTGGGAAAGCAAAGAGGCACACAGCTGCTCCTGTTGCTTTTCTGGAAGAACGCTTATCAATTTTTGTATTTTTTTATGCTTGCGCTTTATCACTGGAATCTCTGATACAGGGATGATTTTTCCCTTTTCCTACTTCTTTATAACAAACTTAACAAATGGTCATTGTATTTCGGTCTCTTGTTTCCGTCGCAATAGTCAGCAAGAGAGAAAAGTTTTCCGCGGATTAAGTGGAAAAATCCAAAATTCATTAACTATTTATCTAAACGAACAGCTATGATTTTGGGCCTGACATTTTCTAGTCTCTGGATATTAGAATCTACCATTTGCCACTTACCCCTAGCGTCGTTACCGAACCGAAACTTTCGGTCCCTTCGTGACACATGGATAGCTATTCACTAAGTCATGGGGGCGCTCCCATGGGAGTGTTCCCATATATTTTGCTTTCTTACTCTTAGGTGGGTATATCGTGCTTACTCACTTTTAGCCCAGGTACATGCATAGTTAGGTCGGAGTAAGCACGATATACCCACCTAAGAATAAGAGAACAAAATATATGGGAACACTCCCATGGGAGCCCTCCCATGACTTAGTGAATAGCTACCCTGTGCGTACGATGAAAAGCCTACTTCGATCCTATTTGGCTCGGCACCTGGTAGACACACAGCACCGTACAAATCTGACAAACTGCCCGTTTTTAGGATGATGCAGGCATAACCTGGCCCGTTATATTTATACGCACCTTTACGTTTTCACCATCAACAATAGAAATAACTAATATTTTATGCACTAAAATATAGCCTAAAGAACTTTATTCGATGATTTTAGAAAGTAAAAAAATGAGGTCCGTGTTTATCTTTCTTATTTACTTAATAAAAACATATTTTTAAATTATATTGTGTATATTTTATTTTATTTTAAAATTATTGTTATTTTAATTACTTAATAAATAGTATTGGATATAAAATTAACGATATTTAAACTAAGTTTTATATCAAATTAACACACTGTCTTTTTATGCTATTTTCAGGTGTTATAAACATTAGAATACTGAATTTTACTCATTGTAAAACACGGGTTTTCTTTAAAAAATGTATATTTAAATTTTTTTAAGTTTGTCGTTTTCTTCTCGTAATTCAACTTAAATACTGTTTCCAAGCTCCCTCCCATTTTTCTTCTTCTCCATCAATTAACAGTAAATCTCGATAATATTTTACGAACACATTCTACTCGAAATTAATTTTGATTACTTTCGGAAAGTCGAAGGAACTTTCTGAGTGACGGTCAATTCCAATACAAGTTAGAATTCACCGATGGCATTGATGGCTCATACGTCAAAAGGATTGATGGGAGATATTAGGGACTTATCGGTTAAGGAAGGCAAACTAACTGAAATGCTCATATTTTACTTGCATAGGGGAAAAGATAAAGACGTTTCTAAGTAATTGACTTTAAAGTAAAATTCGCAGTTTAGTTTTTAACTTTTCTTGTCCGAGAAAACCATGCTAAACATACATGTACCACAATTGTTATTAGAATATTTAGTAAAATAAAAATAATTTTTTAGTTTATTTTGGCGATAATCATTAATTTAAACCAGCTTGATAGGAAAATATTTTGGTCGGCTAACAACGGTTATAAAAAAAAATACAATTAATAATTATGTTGATTTACTAATTGTGCAGCTCTATATAAAATTATAAATTAGTATTTGGCATTTGCAGCAATAATGGTATTTGATTAATGAGCAGTGAAATTTTAATTTCGATGGTGAATGTGGATATATTATCTAGTTACATATTTTGGTAAATATAATTTTCTAGTCAATAAAATTTATGAAACGGGCAAATATTTAGAAATCCGTAATTTACATTCATGATTGATTTCAGAACAGAACAAATCTAGTCATAATGGATTTTATTACTGTATAAATGACCAACAAGTAACCTATTAAATGAAAAACCGATTAAATTAAAATATATAGAGAGATGAATATTTCGATTTGAATCTAAGGTCTGTGATAATGTACCAGTTGCTAAATTGGTTGAAATACCTACTTGGAAACTCCAAAATTAATCAGAGATTAACAGCCGTGAAAACACTATAGAGGGTAAAAATTACACATAAAAGGAAGAAACAAGCTACAAAATGAGTTTTACGTAAAAAATGGCTGCGCTAAAGATGTTGCATCTCACCAAGCTAACTCGCGAAAACATGGATACATGACTCGCAAAACAAGAATATAAAGAATTATTAATATAGATATAACATCACAAAAACAGCTTAGTCTTTGCTGACTATATTATACAATCATTAGATATGTTTATTGAAAAAGTACAGTACGGCGTTACATAAAACAATTTAGGCAAGTATCACAAAACCATTACTTTTATCAGCACATGAGAAAATCTTTAAATGAGAACTCCACTCTATGAATGGGAAACAACAGCAGATTTGAACTGGACACGCACCAGTAAAAGAACACCTCAACAAAATGTTCTTGTATAACGGAGACTCATTATGTGATGGAAAGAGAAACAGAGCCGAACTCATATTGTGCGATTACAAAAAACATGGACCGTATAAAACGACGACTTTTAGACGAACACAGGTTGACTTAAAAACCTATACACATGTTCATCCAAAAATCTATAGTACACAAAAATCTACAGTGTTATCAAAGATCAAGTCAGACGATCTCAAAGTCGTAAAGTGGAAAAATCAACTATAATGGGCAGAAATATGAAGATTATCATATAAAAACAACTTCACTTAATGAAGAAAGGTATCCAAGTAGTCAAATATGAACACCAGCAATATAATAAGTGTATCAGTCTTTACAGTTTTAAATGTTTGCAGTCAATAACAACGTGTATTTTAGCATTATTTTTTTTTCTTTTAGGCCTGATGACGGCCTTAGTGTCGAAACAGGAATATTATTTCTTAATTTTCAAAAAAAGGCAGTCTAGATAAAAAAACATTTTACCTCATAAGCTTATATGCAAGAATAGAGAACTAATAAAAATAAAGCCATTGTCTCCCTCGATTTCTATTTAATGGAAGGTTGTTGTTAATACTTAATGCAGTCACTTAAGCAAAAAATGGGGTCAACCTTGGATTAGAAGATAATAAGCTGGAAACTCGTATACACCTTCTTTTTGGCTTTCTATAAGTTGTCTCAAAAGTCTCATAAAAACTCGCATCTGCATCGTAAGTTATTCAAGATCAAAGATCATAAAAATCGGTTATTGGTGATTATGTAGGTTTCTTTTGTTCCAATGATGTTAATATCTATTATAAAAATTGAAGAGCATACAATTTTTGAAAATTTTTTTTTAAACATGTGCTTAACTGTTTCTGAGATAGAGGACGGAGAGCGGGCAGCGCTCAACTTTACACACTCTAATACAAATTCAACTGTGAATCTCGGCGAATAATACCCTGTATAAGGTTATTAAATCAATAAAATATCATTAACAATGAATAATTTGTATGTTAATAGATTGTATTTAATAACATTTTACATATATCTAATATATTCATTTAATAATACCTATCTACTTTGAGTAAATAAAAACTCATTAAATGAAATACTTATTGTATATCTTAATTTTATATTAATTTAATGAAAGTAAATTTTTGGTAGAACAATAATTAATTATTTTATTTACAACCATATATGTAATGTTGTCATTACTAACGTCATTGAAGGTTGGGAAGTGTCACATTACACACCTCTACTTCCCGCCCTCATTTCATCTATTCTAGATGAATATTTTTTATATTTAAAAAAAAATAACACATTGTTTGACAAATTTTATAATACCTATTTAATGGCAAACAATAAAAAACAACAATGATCTAAAATATAACAAACTACTTATTGATATTTATTATTCGCGAATTTAATATCCGTAATCACAGTAACAATATATTTACCTACTTGATTATTCTGAGAAAACCGCGCGCTTGGTAATTTGTCGTTAAATGTAATATTTTAGGTATGTTCAGAACAAAACAGAGATTTATTAACTTTGATTGAAATATGATGGTTGTAAATAAAAAAGTATACAAACCTCGGTAGGAAGTTTCATTCCTGTCTCGAGATCATAGCTAACCTCGACGCTTCGCGTCTCGGTGATCTAACTAATCTCACGACAGGAATGAAACTCTTCCCACCTCGGTGTGAGATATACTATTGTCTTTAAATGTGTAAGTAAACAAATACTTTTTTTTTTCAATTACCCCTATATAATACGAACTTCTTCATTTATAGTTTGTTTTAGTGATATACAATTCTCCTAAATCTAAGGACAATATCGATTATCTTCTTTAAATCTACAAAGCTTCAAAAACCCATCTAGTTGTTTAATCTTCCACTGATACCTGCAGCATCCCAACAGCAGTATAAACCGTGTCTATTACCAAGTTCAAAAATGGTTAGGACATGATTTAGAATGGGGTTGAGTGCTGCAAAATTAATTCCTGGAGCCACCACCAGCTTTAGATGAACTATATCTTTTGTAATAGTAAGCATTGATGTGGTGCGATTTTAGAAAATCGAAGTTGCGATGCATTTTAGCTTGTGGACAATGCTGTTTCATTGCAAAGCGACCCCGAGGAAGAAAGCGCATTTGACCCAGAAATTCTAAAAGGCCTCTGGAAATAACGACTCAGGAAAACGAAGATAATGACAATGAAACAGAAATTGTCAAACGCCCGGAAGATGACAATGAAGAGGAAAACTAATAGGTACTTCTGTTCTTTAAATTATTAAAGATTTGTAAATTTTCACTTCACTTCAATTTAAATTGTAAGAAATATACAGCTGCTGAATAAAGATAAAATTTAAATATATTATTACTCGTTTTATTTCTACTTAAAATCTACTTTCAATAAATTAATATTAAATTAAGATAGATAATAAGCATTTCATTTAATGAGTTTTTAATTACACAGAGTAGGTAAGTATTATTAATAAAGATATTAAACTTAAAGCTAAACTTCATCACTTGTATAAGTTAAATGATGAGGGTACTTTTCGCGAGTTTCAACGCCTGAGAACTAAAATTAAATTAGACATCGAAATTCATATCAATCTTTTGTACAGTCAGCAGAATCTCATATAAAAAATGATCCTTATAAATTTTGGAATTTTATTAATAAAAGGAAGGGTAATAACTCGGTATCTAACAACATCACATACAACAAAGTGTCGTTAAGTGATCCTGATGCCATCGTAAACGGATTTCCCGAGTACTTTAGCAAATCCTATAATGTATCCACAAAAGCTACTCCACCATTCGACTTTGAATGTACCACAATATTTAACCTCTCTAAATTTGAGAAAGAAGAAGTGTTAATTAACAAATTGTTAATTAGCGAGTTTACAACAAATGAACAATAAACAATTGTTGGCCACAACTTAGTGGGCATGCTGCTCCCCGGGGACCCAGAGTTTTTGGAAAAAAATCGAGGGCTGAAATTATTTTTGGAGCAGAGATATCAATTTGTTAATTAGCGAGATTACAACAATTTAACAATAAACAATTGCATGCCACAACATTGTGAGCATGCTGCTCTCCGGGCACCCAGAGTTTTTGGAAAAAAATTGAGGGCTGAAATGACTTTGGGAGCAGAGATATCAATTTGTTAATTAGCGAGTTTACAACAATTTAACAATAAACAATAGTTTTGACATCAACAAGATGATGGGCGCCTTCGAAAACCAGCCCGAGAAAATTTGCCAGACCTTTTTGTTGAACGGCCAGTCACGTTTTCCATATTCTCGTCAACTCCCACAGAAAATTTTGTTAAATAAATAATTATAAATATCCGAGCGTACAGAGATTAGATGTACGTTTTGTTACTGATAATTTTTAGAAAATTTTAAAGAAAACCTCATGTCAATCTGACTTCTCCGCAAAAAGTTACAGGTTTTCATCATTTTCATGCTAGTTTCACGCCACTATGAACATTTTGTCGATCTTGGCAAAACTTTTAATCCAAAGCTTTCATTTATATTACACATTGAAAACATTGTATCTGCTGCATCAAAAATGTATGGGTTTGTGTTACGTGTTAGTAGGGAGTTTTCAGATATAGAAACTCTTAAAATGCTGTATTTTTCATTCGTTCGGTCTAAACTGGAGTACTCTTTAATAATTTGGAATCCCCATTACCAAACTCATTGGGACAAGTTAGAATCAGTGCAGCGGCGATTCTTAAAATTCATTTGCTTCAAACAGGATGGCGTTTATCCGGAAATAGGTACCTCATCAATATCTGCTTAACATACATAACTTTATTGATCTTGAGACAAGGCGAAATTGTCATCTAATCATAAGTCTGAAGTTTTTAAGTCTGTATAGTGTTTACCTATTCTTATGTTTTCGTAATTATTTTTGTCAGATTTTCCTGCTCTTTAATTGGAATTGCCTGTTGAGCAGTGTATAAATAAATAAATAAATTAAAATTTGGCGAAAATTTTATGATGTACAATTTTTATAATAGATATTAACAATATTGGTGCTACAGAAAACCTGATAATCTAAAAACCGATATTTGTGATCTTTGACCTTGAAAAACTTACGACGCAGGCATGAGATTTTATGAGGCTTCCAGCTTATTATTTCTCATTCCGAGGTAAAACCTCTATGATTGGACTAACTGTCCACCGACAACCAAATTAAAGTAATATGTTTTTTCGAATTAAAGCATTCTAATAATTGTGTACAGTTCCAACTTGGAATCAACTCTGCTGGTGGGCACTCCCGGGTTAGCAAGTTCCCTAAGGTATGTAAATATTTGCAGTTTAGCCGTGTCAACCGCGGTTGATTCTTTGTTGTATATAAAATATAACAACTGCTCAGCTTATTCGCATATCACAGTTTGAGGTGTCATTTTTTGGAAAAAGTCGTAAAGCTGTCAGCAGGGCCGCCGAGAGCCAGACCGGGCCCCAGGACAATTCTCTAGATGGGGCCCCTCTTCTTGTTGAATTGAGGTTCTAAAAAAAAAAAACAGCTCCCCAACCACAAACTTCTCCCGCTTGTCTGGTGTCGAATTTCTCATATACAACACAAAAATATCAGTTGTCGGGCCCCCTTTATACCGCTGCCGGGACCCCATTTAACTCCGGGCCCGGGAATTAGTCCCGGCTACCGCCCCCTCTAGTCGGCCCTGGCTGTCAGATCCAAGATGTAGAAATTATTAAAAATTCCTATTTTTGGCTTGAACATCAAAACGTACAGCAAAATTTCCGGTATGAGTGTAGCATGGTCACCAGCATCGGTGATTAAATCTCTTAGATTTAGTTAAAAGAAACTTTGTTAAAGCCCAATGCTTTAAGGCTATGTGTGTGTACAAGTGAGAGATTTATCAACTGCCTTGTGCTAAATTTTGTGACAGTTTATTGAGTTTTCACCTCTAAGCTTGCTGCCGAATACCCCAATTTCTACTACTGTTGTAGTTTTGGAATCATCAGTGCATAAAAAATACTAAGTGACAGAAAATTCGTCCTTGAACCATTCGTCTCTCTCTATCAGGAATGAAGACATTGAAATATTCTTGGTATTCCCATTTAAAACACCAGTAAATTTTCTTTTTGACAGTCCAGCTTGTATCTCATCAGCCGACGGCTTTCTCAGTCAAGTCGAGACGATGACGTGACCCAAGCATTTTTGTATCTCTCTTTAAGTAAGCAACAGTATATGCTACTCTCATTCTGCCTTGACAAAATTCGCTCAAATACTGCAATTTTCAAATTTTCTATTTCACGCGGCTTAAAAGAATGTTTAAGTTTGACAAAGAATGAATAAGATGAAGTTATCTTTTAAAGATGGCCATTAAAGCTTTAAACCAATTAGAGAGCAGTAACAGTATTTAAATTGTCGTTTTTACCATTTGAATCAATATTCATTTCTAATACGAATATTAAAGTCAAAAGTTATTTAATAGTGCTTCATATTTGAACTAATAATATTTGTGAACCAACTCACAACTACAATTTAATGTTTGTAACTAAATCAGATCAAAGATGCTAGAATATTCTTCAAAAATATCATAATGCCGAACATTCTCGAAATTAAAGTATTTTAAGTAACTAATAATTAGTTACACATACTTTATGCCTGAAAAATATATGTAAGAATTATCCTTTCAAAAATGATTTTTGTTTTAATAAAATTATCATAAAATATGGGATAAAGGTGATAGGAGAACTGTCAAGGTTGGAAAATTCGGTCACTTCCGAAGAGCTGTAGGTTTGAAATTTAGTTTTCAGTAAAAAGTAATAAAAATAACATAAAAACTAATATTTTTCATAATACCAGTATTACAACAAGGATTATATTAATTCGTAAACAATAAAGTCGTTCTTGAATTGGTCGACGTCGTCATAAATTCAGTATACAGTAGAATGAGCATTTCGATTAGTTTGCCTTCAACAATTATTTTTCACTTACCTTGATCTCCTCGTTGCTGGATCCTTCATTACCATTACTTCTGTGATGTCACCAAATTTACTAAAGTACTCTCGTAAACTCTCTGTAACAAAAAAATAATACATATTAAAATTGGTATCCTTAAGGCAGTACTTAATTAGATACGCAAAAACAAATATAGGGAACGTTAAAAGGAGTGATGCGTAATTGTGATTTTATCAACAAACAATTACAATTAATTACAATTTTTTATCGGGACCACATTATTTGTGAATTTTAATAAATTTAAACAGCATCACCTTCACATCTGTAAGGAAGGAAAGGAATTTTGCTTCATAGCATTTAGGCCTCACTGGGTCCATTGTGCATCCTTCTGGGGTGAATAGAAATTGCCTCTCAGCTTTTCAAAAGCCTGCTGTTTTCATTTGACTTTATGTACGTATTAACTTGTATATTTGCGATACCGGCGCACTTATTCTATAAACGTCATTTCAAGTTTCCACGTTTTTGTTCTTGTTGGATTGCATGAACTTCATATTTGCGGGAATATTATGAAAATAAGATAATTTACTTAGCTAGATAAAACATTTGGCTGGTTAAAAACAGAAGTGATCCAAGTAACACTTTTAGAAAAACTGAGCTGTTTCACTTTTTGAATTTTTTTGACAACAGTTAGTGCAAAAGTAATCCAACTGCTATTCAGCATTTATGTTAACAAAGTCCTATTTTTGATAATTCTGCATTATCCTAAAAATATAAAATTCTTAGTGCAGACGTATTCTAAGTTACTTGATTGTTGCTTGGATCACTTCACTATTCATTTGAACTTAGTGCAGAATTAATACAAGTCGGTTGTTGTCACTTGTGTTTGATATATTGATTGTTTTTGCCAATTTGTGTTGTTTATTATTATGAAAATGTTTTCTCGTCTAAAAATTTAGTTAATTTAGCAAAACAAGCTGCTTTAGTTAAAAACTCAGATTGGAGTTCTGTTTTTATTATAATCCTGAATAATGATGATAAGAGGTTGTCCTGATTCTTTATTTTCTTTTAGAAACATTTAAACACCAATTATTTTCGGAATTAGAACCAGACCAGACCAGTGAATCATATCGTCCATCAAAAGAATCGGAATCTGGAGTTAAAAATGTTGAAAATATATCCAGGTATATTAATAACAGACCTAACACAAGTAGAGCAGGAACTTCATCAAGTTGACAAAATATGGGGCAAACAGAAGAAGTAATATAAGAACTCGAAAACGCAGAAATGAGAAGATATTTGAAAGAAATGTTATTAAAGAAAACCAAAACAAAGGTGAACAGTATATCAGTTATTCTGGCAAAACCGTACAAGCAAAAGCTTTTATTTCTATTTCATGAATTTGCAAAAGGAAGTATTGTAGTGATGATGTTTCTAAAAGGTACAAGAGAGTATTCACACCTTAGTAGGAGAAACAATGCAGTTGAAAATCTAGAGGAGGATATGCTCCCAAATGTAGCAAGTGATGAATTTGAATAATAAGTAATTGCCAATTATTAATAAAAGTATTTTATATAAAAGCCTTCTTATTTTATTTCTGTAACATCATATGTCCTTTTTTCATTGAAAGCAGAAGTGATCCAAGTTAAAAAAATGTCATTTTGCTACTTCAATATTGGATGTGTCAAACAAATCTTCTAGTAAAAACTAAATTAAGTTAATATCATAATATCTATCATAATATAAACAATAATCTAATAATATATTAGACTCAAGTTTTATAATAATGAAAACGCATTTTGCTTATTATCACAATAATGACAACATGCTACTTGGATCAATTCTGTTCTTAACTAGCCATTTATTCATAAAAACAGGTATTGTATTTTATTATAATAATAATAATAATAATAATAATAATATCGTCTTTATTATTTCAAATCAAAAGTTCACATATATATTCGTACAATAGAAATAAATTAACATTTGAAATAAAGGGCGAAGTTCATTTTTTGCATTCCTGAATGCAAAAAATGTTCTTCCACTTAACAGCATAAAATATATTAATTTCTTAAATAGGTACACAATATTTCAAATTATTTTAAAAACGTTTTTTTTTTAATTGAAAAATAATTTGTATATTTGGGTGGTAATAGTGTAGGCATCGCCCCTCTTGAATGCCTTAACGCCCCCTCATTTGCCTCTGGATCCGCTACCACCCCCTTAGAAAGTTCCAATGCCTACTGGGAGGCGGTATAGCTCTCGTTGGGAACCTATGATTTAGATTTAGACAAAGCTTAAACCTTAAATATGAAACAGTTATACGATATTAAGGTATAAAAATAAAAAACAAATCGACCATGATTTCAATTCACTTATTTACCAATTATAAGTTATAAAAACAATGTTTATATACATTTAAACAAAATTATACACGTTCATGGACTATGCCCACATAAGTTGACCAGTTTAGGTAATAAAGTTGTGACGAATTTCATAAAGTTTGTTGTGTTGTTTTTTCTATGTTTCCATGTACTCTCTCTTATGTTTTGTTGTTGTCAAAACCAGTTCCTCTTGTGTCTTGCTTTACATCTTTTAACTACTTTGAGCTGGAAATGTAGAAAGGAATAAGAATTAAGTAATACGAAAAAATTTATTTGACACGGATTTACCTGTTATTTTTTTACTGCTATGAATACATTCAATTACTTACTAAAATTATTGTTATATGCTTGAGCTTGTTTCTTATTCCATTTGCTAAATCTGTTATCTGATTTGGACATAATATAATAACGGTTTCTCTGGTATTTTCTTGGATTGCTGACAATCTTCTCTGTATTTTATTTATTACGATTTTAACTGTTTTTTGACACTTTTTTTTATATCAGTCATATTCTTTTCTTTTTGCTCGTTTATCTTTTTATTTTCTTTTTCTATTCATTCTTCAGCTGTTCTGTTTGTAACTTACTTTTTTATGACTGTGTTTTTTCGTACTTTATTATATCTTTTCAGTTTTTTGTTTATACATTCTGAGTGAACTATTGGAACATAGAGTAAGCAGCAGTTATTTGGACCATAATAATAGGGTGAATCAAACTTGCCTTAATAAAATGCTGCTATGGAAAAAATGCGTGGGTGGCGTATTTAAGCTAAAAAATTATTTTTTTTTCTTACTAATAATATTAATAAATCGTTATCAAAATAGACACAAAAGCATAACTTTAGGTACGAAATAATATTTTATTTATTATTTTACATTATTTTACATGAGCAATTCCTGATGATGAAATTGAGTCATGCCTTTCTTGACGAAATTTTTATTGGAAAACATATTCAAATTTAGTATCCATGTAATTTACGATTTACCAAAACTTTCTTATTATTTATTTTCCTTATTTTGAATTTTCTGAATACCCTGTATTATCCATACTTTGCACGTTTTTTTAAAACATAATATTAAACTTGCGGTTCATTACTGAAAATTATGCCAAAGAAGGCTAGCTAGCTAGGAAATTTTGAAATAAAGCCTATGCCATATTTTTAGACTATTTTAAAGCTCGTTTTTTACAAAAATCCAAAGGGCCCTGTATTTTAAGTTTTTTTTTTTTCTAAAAGCAACCACACCATATTTTGAGGCTAATTTTGGATTCTTAAAATAATATAAAACTTTTAGAAAAGGATTGATATTTTTAAACAATACGGGGTCCTTTGCTAGCTTTGAACGAAGTCAGCATAGCACTTAGGTTTTTTAACAGCTTTTTTTTAAAACAATCACATTACATTTTTAGACTCTTAAAATATTATAAAACTTTTCTAAAAAAATTGCTAATTTTACATAATACAGGTTGCTTTTCTAAAATGAAGTCAGCAGAGCACCTCGATTTATAGTTTTTTTTTTTTAACAACTATGCCCCATATTTGGGGCCATTTTTAGGGTCTTAATATATTATAAAGCTTATTTTAAAAAAGGGATGCTTTAATAGTTTCGAACGGTGCAAGCAGGCACCTCGGTTTTTACAATTTTTTTTTTCTGAAAACAACTATGCCACATTTTAGGCTCTTGAATATGATAATATTTTTAAATTTCTTATTTTTAAAATTTAGAACGAAATATGCAGAGCACCACGTGTTTATATTTATGTTCACTTTCTTTTATATATAAATAAAATTTATAAATAATTACTCGAATATTATTTGTTAAGTAGATATTACTTCAAATGATGAATAAAACATTTTAATGAAAAATAAGTTTTCATACACATATGCATTCATTTAAGAAGATTAAAAATGTATAACTCAAATTAAACGTTTCCGGTTTAAATTTCGATAGTAACCTAAAAATAACATTGCATATGGTTTAACATTGGCATTGGCAATTTTCTAATGGATACCACAGGCGCCATATATTTTTCTTTGATCTTCTAATAGCATAGGAATGAATTTCGTGAACATAAATATAAAGAAGTTCCAACAAATGGATAAACAATTCCTTTCATTGTTTTTAATTATTTTAAACCACAGGTATTATGTTTAAATAAAATATGTAATTGTATTTATTTATTTATGCTATTTTTATACCCCATTCAAAAATGTTATGCTTTTCGTTTTTTACAAACATTAAGCTGCTTTGCTAGCTTCGAGCGAAGTCAGCAGAGCACATCGGATTTTAAAGGTTTTTTCTAAAAACAGTCACACCACATTGTAAGGCTTCTGAAATATTTTAAAACTTTTTTATAAAGTACGGGGTGGGGTGCTTTGCTAGCTGCGAACGAACCCAGCATAGCACCACAATTTTTTAAAGGTTTTTTTTTCTGAAAACAATACGCTCCATTTTAAGGCTATTTTTAAACTCTTGTAATATATACGGAGTAAAACATTTCGAAACAATGTAGCATAGTGTTTTTTATAGAAAATCCGTATTTTATTTAAATATAATTTGTTTTCAGAGTATTTTATATTTTTTTAAGAACCTAAAAATGGAAAAAAAAATGTGACGTGGATACTTTTAGTTATGAGTAGCCAATTTTGATAGAATATTTTGTTTCAAGACTCTAAAAATATGGGGTCTTTTTTAAAAAAACTTTGGAAGACAGCTAGCAGCGTATTTTTTTAAAACAGCAA